AAATTATTTTTGTTGACACTTCATAACTGTAATTTTGCAACTGTTATGAATCAGGCGACCTCTGTGAAAGGGTTATCCAACCCCCAAAGGGGCTACAACCCACAGGTTGAGAATCGTTGATCTAATGATTCAGCATTGGCTGAACCGGGACAGGCTACAAGAGACCAGATCTTAGGAAACAGACTGAGAAATCGAGTCCTCCCCAGCAGGGCAAGATGATGACTGGGAGCCAGTGGGTCTAGGACACTAGCAGGAAGGGTAAGAAGCAAAAGAGCATAGATACTTCCTCCCCTACATCTTTCAGTGGCCAGCTCACACTGAGTTTCCTCCCTAAAGCCTTCCCAGATCATCCCAGTTGCAAGGCTTCCTCCTCCTGCAACAGCGTCTGTCCAGGACGGCGTGTTTATCACACACACAACACCTCCCATGCGCCCCCGGCTAAGTTGTCGCCCAGCAACATCACATCTTCTGTGGTGTCCCATCAAGGAAGCCTGTCCCTTCCCCTTCCTGATAATTGCATTGTGCATTCATTTCTTTCCCAAACTGACAGGCTAACACATTTGGAGAAATTAGCTACTATCAAGCAGTACAGGAAAAAGAAACTTTCTACTCCCATAAAGAGCTACAGTCTTGGAAACCCACAGGGGCAGTTCTGTCCTATGGGTCCACTATAAGTTGGAATTGACTCAATGGCCGTGAGTTTGGCATCAAGGAGTAACTCATCTTAGCAAAAGAGTCCGAGTGGTGCCGGGGTTAACGCTCTTGGTGGCTAACCCTAACATCGGTGGTTTGAACCCAGCCACGCCGTGGGAGAAAGACGTGTCCTGCTTCCACAAAGATTACCAGCTGGAAATCATATGGGGCAGTTTTGCTGTGTCCTACAGGTCAGAATCTAAGTCAGAATCAACTTGTGGTTAACGGCTTGGATTTCATACTTGATGCACCTGCACTTATTCTGTAGCTGAGAAGAGCCCCCTTGTGTGCAGATACAGGGAAGGAGCTTCTCAGCAGCCGTCCAGCAGCGCCTGTGCCCAAATGAATGGATGCTACTCATCGCAAAGCCCACGGTAAATGCCCCTCTCTCCCTTAGAATAATGAAGATACATTTTTAAAATCTGAATCAAATACCAGAGGTGATGACCTAATACTGCACTGTAACAATTAAAAATTTGCAAATGACTTTTTTGCAATTTATTTTTATTGTAACCCCATTCAGGGCTGTTGAAACATTGTTCTCATGAGCAACGGCTCTATCGCTAGTTAAATTGATATCTGGTTATACTCTTTTTATAAATTAGGATAGAAATATATGTGTTGGATATTCCAGAGTTTTATGGTTTTGAATGAAGATAAATCTACTTTTTTAGTGGAAAGAATAGCATTGTCTTTTTTGCCTGAGAAGTCACTTCCCAGAGCAGGGCAAAATCCAAGGTCAAACGCAGAAATCATTTACTCTGTGTGTGTGTGTGTGTGTGTGTGTGTGTGTGTGCCCAAATTGTTTGACTGTTAAAATAATAAGTGGCTTTATACTCCACTCTCAGTACGTTTTCTAAGCAAAACAAACAAAAACTAAAAAGAACCTAGTGACTAAGAAGTGGGACGGCCAATTTAAAATCGTTTCATACTGTAAGTTATTCTTCAGCAGGAACCTACATAAGGAAATCCACATCTGACTACAAGGAGAGATCTCCAAATGTTACGGTGCTGCAGACTCCTGAAAACAAGCTCTCAACAGGAGAGCCACCAAGACTTTCCTCGGGGGAAAACAGAAAGGCTAAGGATTCCCCCGAAAGCTAACTTCTGTCCAACTTTTTAAGTATGACATTCTTCCAAAAAAGCTTAAATGGTCACATTACACTTTCAAACCCCAAAAATCTCAGCAACCAACACCTGATATAAAAAAAACTAGACACTTAACCCGACTGCCACTGAGTCAATTCCAGCCCACAGCAACCTTCTAAGACGGAGTAGGGTCGCCACATGGGGTTTCTAGGCTTTACAGAAGCCTGCTTCCTCTTTTCTCTCTTGGAGTTGCTGAAGGGTTTGAACCACTGACCTTTGGGTTGGAGTGCTTAATCACTGCACCACCAGGGCTCCTATTGCTTGATTAGACTTCCAACCTCTAAACGAGATCCATTGTACCTGGCTATTGGAGTATAATCTTGAGCTGTCAAAATGTTTCTAAAGTATTTTAAACTGTTAATAAATGTTCATGTTAAGTGCAAAATAGGTATATAACCATATGCTAATAGAATCCTGGTTGAGTAGTGGTTATGTTCTGGGTTGTTAACCGAAAGGTCAGCAGTTCAAAACCACCAGCCATTCCCCTAGAGAAAAACGAGGGCTTCTACTCCTGTCAAGAGTTACAGTTAGTCTCAGAAACCCACAGGGGCCGTTCTACCGTGTCCTACAGAGGTGCTATGAGTCAGAATAGACTCGAGGGCTGTGAGTTTAGTTTTGAATTTGGATGGATTCCCAGCAGGTTCTTGGAAGCAATATTATTGTGGCCACAAAGGCTAGCCTTACTTATCACATAAAATCATATTTAAAAATAAAAGGAAAGGTGCTTTTTGTGCCTAAGTCCAGAAAATTAAAGTTATTGGCCCCAATTGAGAGAACTGTTTGCTTTTCAGCAATGAAAAAGCAATGAAACTGAGGAAAGAAAATCAAGTACAAGTGTTAGCTCATGTAATTATCAAATGTAGTAGTAAACCTACTGGGTTTTAACATAACAATATATATATATATATAATCTTTTCATTTGCTGTAAAGGCAACTCATGAAGTGTGTGTCAGAGTCAAATTGAGCCCAAGAGAGTTTTCAAGGGCTGATTTTTTTTTTCTATGTAGATTGCCAGCACTTTTTTTTGGCCCTCCCACCTTTCAATGAGTAGCTGAGCGTGTTAACCACATGCACCACTGAGGAAACGCTATGAAAACACTGCCATGATGATGTATTTGAAAACAGAACCTAACCACATGGCCTCTGTAGGGACCATATCCACCTAATGCTGTTGAGTGGCTTTGTGATAATTTCCAGGAACGGCACTCCCTAGTAAGACCTAACTGGGTAGCTTTCTGGAAATAAAACCACTATGATTTTAAATATACTGTTAACTAAGGTGAGAGCCTGCTCACATACTCAGGGTCAAGAGAAGAGGCTACTTCATCACAGCCAAGCTACACAGCTCAGCATGTAAAACCAGTCTGGGCAAGACAGGAGAGGCCCAAACCCTTCTACCATAAGACTCTCTTCAGATTGGTCCCCAGGGCCATGCCTCAGGCAGTCTGTGGGTCCAGCAGTAGCCACACAGTGCCCGGTTTGTTTAGTGACAACAAAGGGGTCAAAGAGTTGAGAGAGAGAACGAACAGGGCACAGCCTCTCAACAGCAAAACCAGAATCAGAAAAAATATTCCCAATCGTCTGAGAAAAAGAATGATACCAGGCTGAGACTTGAAATAGAATATAGTTTCTTCATGCAGTAGACATGAAGAGATCCGTGTGTCTCAAGTGGGGTTCATCTATTTCTCCCCCAAAACAGCAGATGTAAAGTCTCTCTCTCTCTCTCTCTCTCTCTCTCTCTCTCTCACACACACACACACACACACACACACACACACACATACAGTTGCTTCTTTGTACTTACTGCAACTTCTAATTTTAGAAGCAGTCATGCCATACTCTCTGTGAGGCAGGCATGCAAAGAGTACCAGGCTCCGCCCTCTAGAGCCAGCCGCAGGACAGGAAGACTTAGAGCAAGGACTTCAGGCACACAGTCACAAAGAGAAACATCACACAATAAAATACTAAGCATTTATATCTGGGTGGGGGGGGGTTGGCAGAAAAACTGAAAGGATGGTCAACACATTTTAGGTAGAAAACAAAAACTGTAAAAGTGTCCCACAACTTCATGGCAGATCAGAATGCAGAAACTCATGTAACCATCAAAAATAGAAACTGTACGAACAAGACTCTCCTCCAAGGGGGAAGTGGGGAGACTCTCCTCCATATAATATGATGGCCTACACATGATAGCGGCTCACCAAAAAGTAACCAAGCCCACAGCCATCAAGTCGATTTCAACTCACTGGGACCCTGGAGGCCAGAGAAGAACTCCTCCCCGGGTCTCTTGACAGAAGCAGACTGCCAGGTCTTCCTCCCCTGGCGGGAGCCACAGCTTCCTTAGATGTAAGAAACATCTTTCTTTCTTTCTTTTTTTTTAAGAAACAGCTTTCTATCTTCGAGTTGTCTGCGACAGCAAGTGGCCAAGAATAAATGAAGGCTGAGACAAACAAACCCACTTTGTCCAGTGAAGCCCTCTTTCATCAGTGTCTGATGCAGGGGGGCCCTGCGCCGTCATGGAGTGACACTGTCACTAAGTCGGGGCTCTGGTGCCTGAAAGCACTTACTGAAGAGTCTCAACTCACAGCTGCGCTGTCTGTGTGCCATTTCTGGGGGGAGGGAGGTGTGTCTAAAATGAAGACAATCCACACTGGATAAGATAGCATCTGGAAACACAGGGAATCCAGGACAGATGATCCCTTCAGGACCAGTAGTGAGAGTGGCGATACTGGGAGGGTGGAGGGAAGGTGGGGTAGAAAGGGGGAACAGATTACAAGGATCTACATATAACCTCCTCCCTGGGGAACGGACAGTGGAGAAGTGGGTGAAGGGAGACGTCAGACAGTGTAAGATATGACAAAATAATAATAATTAATAAATTATCAAGGGTTCATGAGGGAAGGAGGAGCAGGGAGGGGGGGAAATGAGGAGCTGATGCCAAGGGCTCAAGCAGAAAGCAAATGTTTTGAGAATGATGATGGCAACAAATGTACAAATGTGCTTGACACAATGAATGGATGTATGGATTGTGATAAGAGTTATACGAGCCGCCACTAAAATGATTTAAAAAAAATAAAATAAAATGTAGACAATCCACTGGGTCCCTTCCAGCCCTGTTCTTATTTCCAGTCTAAGAAGGACGTGTGACCAAAATTTCCATTCCCATCCGCAGCTGTCCCCCCCACCCGCAGCACGAGTGAAATCCGCAAGAAGATAAAATTCACCTGCGGGAACAGGCAGAAGAAGCGTCTTCTTACCTGATGTGGCCAATCAATTCAATAAGCTTGTGACTGAAGAAGTACGCAGTCAGCTCCGACACGTGACTCAGGACGGAGCAGACGCCGAAGAGGGTAGTGGTTCCGTTCAGGTCTTCCAGGTGCCAGTAGAGAAAGGTGAACACAAAGCCGTGGCCGAAGCCCATGAACCACGCCACGAAGAGCACCGAGCCGTACTGCACGCTGCACAGCAGCCTGAGCAGGTCCCGGAAGGTGAAGGCGCGCGGGGCCCCGGGGCCCGGGGCGGCGGCGGCGGGCGGCTCGGGCGAGGACTCGCTCCTCTCCACCGCGGGGATCTCCACCTCCTTCCCTTTCGGGTCCTCGTTGGCGAAGTGGTGGTAGCGGAACCGGAACTGAGTGGCCACGATCAGGGCCATGGTCATGAGCACCCCGAAGACGATGAAGACGATCTGGTAGTTCCGGTATTCGGGGGGCCTGCACCCCTTTCCCTCGACGAGCACCTCGACGTGGGTGTAGTCGATGCCGATGCCCACGGAGAGCATGGCCAGCCCCCAGCCCAGGGAGCCCCACATGCGCTGCAGCCCGTAGCGGTCCCTGTGTCGCCCCAGGTACTGCAGCGTGACGGTGTCCACGATCGTGACGGAGGAGGCACTGAAAAACTCGCCGATGATGACAACCACCAAGATCACCAAGAAGATGGCTTCCACTTCTTGTGGGTCGTAAACCAGGGAGACTTGGTCAGCGGGGAAGGGCTTGGTGGGGGCGACGGGCGCACGGGTGGTCTGCCTGCTGACGTTTCCTGCCGGGGTGGCTCTGGCCGGGCTCGAGGTGAAGTCCAGCATCTGACCCGTGGGCTCGCTGCTCCGGCTGGGAGACGACGTCGCGAACACAGCCGCTCCGGGGCTGCTGGGCTCCGGTTCGAGCATCAGGGACCCATTGGAAGCGGGCAGGTTCCTTCTCGCTCTCGTTTTTGGTAACCCGGAGGCCAGCGTGGTAGCAGGGAGACCGGAATAATTCGTCGGCAGGGTGGTGGGTGGGTGACTGGCATTGGTGGGACGAGCCGCTGGGGGGATCTTTGGTACACATCTCAAGGTAGCAGGCTTCACAAATCCGATGCCCAGGTTGAACAGAACCCAACACAAAAGAGAGAAGAGGAGAACAATCTTGCCTTTTTTAAAGCGGTCTGCCACGACACCCCAAAAAGGTGCACTGCAGAATTCTATGAAGTATCGGATTCCCACTAGCAGTCCACTCTGGCTTGGGGACATGCCCAGCTGCTTGTAGTACACTGGCAGGAGTGGGTAGAGCGAACCATAGGCGGAGTAGAAGAAAAAATAAAAGACCTTGGAAATGAGAAGATCGTTGTTGATCTTCACACAGTGTTTCTCGATCCAGTCTATTTCCTCCTCGGGGATCGCAGACGTTTCGGTGGAGGAAGGCGTTTCATTCGAAGGTGGTTCTGGCTCCCTGGCGATGCCATTGAAGGGGTCAGCAAGCACATACTTTCTCTTCTGCTCCTCTTCATCGTCGGTTAGGATGGCAACTTTATCGTCTGCCGCCATGGCTTCCCGCCACCATGAGAAAACCCGTGACTCTCAGAATGCCGATGGTTGATCTGCAGAGAAAACGTTTAAAAGAGGGCTCAGCAGTGGAAATTATAACACTCAAATGGAGAGACTTTTTGCAGGAAACTGAGGCGTTCCACGCTATAGCTAGAAATAACAACCAAGAGAGAAAATTCCCATCATGATCACTTTCAGTCACGAAATAGTGATGAATAGCTTTGCAAAAATCGAATATAGCCACTACTTGACTAATTACATCTTCCAATGGCAGGTTTCTAGCCCAGGGCCACTCCCAGTCTCTGCACTGATCCCTAGGACACTGGGCAAATGCTAGGGGTTAAGTCTAAACCAAATATGGGGTAGTTGAAAGCAAAAACTATTTATGGTTCCTTGGTTTTACTGTTCAAACAAATTTGCTGCTCTCTGAAGTCTAGAATTCCTTTGAAAGTAAAAGCATCAAAAAAATAATTCCATTTCTAAAGAAAAATAGAAATAAGCTCTTAACCGCAACCACAATTACAATGTGAAGAAGGAGCCAACTGCAAATTTGCCATTGGATGTGATCATTACAGCTAAGACAGTGACATCTAAGAGGCAAGGGAAGCAAACCTCACACTGCTATTATTACTTATGTTTCCCAGATGTACTTTTATGGCTCTCAAGTCAAGAAAACCTCAGAGGGGCGGTGGGGGCAGGGGGGGCGGGAGAGAACATAGTATTTCTTGAGCACCATGTATAAGTATAGACCATCTAAAAGCTTCATGTGTAGGCAAACCAAGAGGGGAGTGCAACAGACCAGCAATGGGAGCCAAGCCCCAAAGTCCCTGAGGAATCCCAATTGTAGACTTCTGACTGAGTGCTTGGCACCTCATCTAAACTGGCTGCTGGGGGTTACTTACAAGGGGGCCCCACTGAAAGTCTAAAGGCGTAACGGGGTGGGGGTGGAGGCCCTAGACCGCTCCATCCCTGACTGCAGGAAGAGCAATGGGGACTTGCAGGAGGCATGCCTTTGGTCACGAATGCTGAGGACTAACAAGGTACAAGGGCTGTGAGGAAAGTGGGTCTGGGATATAGAAACCTAAAGGAAAGGGGGTTGGACTGATGGATTCTAACAGGTCCTGCTCACTGTTGAACAGAGAGATACCCATCCACTCTGGGTCAGGAGATCAGTAAAACATGGAACTATTTATATGGTCTTTCTCTTTTTTTTCCTTTTCTCTCTTTTAGACAGCGACAGGACCGATGGGAGGGGAGGAAATGGGGAAGGGAAGGGGAGCTAATAAGGACAGGGATAGGGGAATAGCAAGGGATCTAAAATTGACGGTGAAGAGGGTGAAGCATTCCTGGTCATGTTTGATCAATTGAAATGTATCGAAAGGAATTACTGAGAGGTGAACAATGGGTAAACATGGTAGTGGGGCAGAAGGAAAGGAAAAATATTTTTAAAAGAAAGTAATAATATATATAGGTATATAGCGAGATATGTATATATCTATATACTTATGTAGATATATAAAGATAGGTATGTTTGTCTATGTATATATGTGTACATATGTAAATACAACAAGGAAGCAGATGGACTGTGGGCCTCTACTTAAATATTACCTCAGTACAAAAACAGGTCGTTCTAATAATATGGCATTGTACAATACTCACCTTCCCGACATGATCGCTGAAGGCAAAATGGGCTCATAAGCAAATGTTGTGGAGAAAGCTGATGGTACCCGGTTATTAAATGATATAGCATCTGAGTTCGTAAAGGCTTGAAGTTAAACAAACGGCCATCTAGCAGGGGATCAACTAAGCCCATATGGAAGAAGCACATCAGCTATGTGATCATGAGATGTCGACGGGAAGAGGTATCAGAAGTTCAAAAACAAGCAATCAAATTGATGGAAAGAAGTGTGGGCAAAGTGGAAACCCCAAACCCACCTGTAAGATAATTGGACAGTCCCTCATAGAAAGGCCACACAGAAAGGATGATAAATCCAGGGAGCATTATAACACTGATGAAACACATAACTATCCTCTGGTTCTTTAATATTGCTCCCCTTACTATTATGGTCTTTGTTTTACCTCATTAATCTTGTTGGACCTGCATATGTTCATTTGTATAATTAAGAGCACTCAATGCATGAAAGCCAAGATAGATAATCCTTCAGAAACAGTAACGGGACTAATGATTCTCTAAGGGTACAGGAAGATAGGCAGGGAGAGGGGGAAGAGGGAGCTGATAGCAAGGATGACTGTATAACCACACTTGAGGGAAATGAATAACAGAATTGCAGGTGAACAGATTCATGGGATGGTATAAGATACGGCTAATAAAAATAGTATATAATATAACAATAAGGGTTCCCAAGGGGTATGGTGGGATAGGGAAGGAATAAAGGGGAGCTGATATCAAAGAGTTCAAGAAGAAAATGTATCGAAACTGATGGTGTTAGCATTTGTATAATTATGCTTGATCTAATTGAAATACAGATTGTTATAATATCCGGAAGAGCTCTCAATAAAAAGATTAATAAAATTTTTTTAATCTTCACATGTATTAATTCACATTTATCACAATATCCTGAATATCTTCTCCATTTTACAGTTGATAAACTGAGCATGGCTAGTGTAATTAATTGGTAAGTGGCAAAGCCAAGATTTGGACCTTCATTGTCTGTCTTCAGAGCATATATTCTATACAACGCAGTACACTGCCAAATAATATATTTGGAAATTGAAGCACTATTAGACCTCTTTAAGGTACAGGGTGTTTCCTCTGAGATCAGTCCTATGTCAGCAGTATACATTTGTAGAAACTGCCACGATCCATGAAATCTTGTTTTCGTTTTTCCTTCTGCACTACATAAATGAGCTAATGGCCACAGTCTTGCATCCAGATTGACACTGCTGTTGTTCGGGGCCGTGAAGTCAGTCCTGACTCAGAGCGACCCCACGGGCCACACGAAAGACACCGCCCAGTCCTGTGCCGCCCTCACAGCTACCGTCATGTTTGAGCCGGGGTGTCCATCTCTCTGGTGGAGGGTCTTCCTCTCCTTGCTGCCCCCACTGATTTACTAAGCACGTTGTCCTTTTCTAGGGAAGGGTCTCTCCTGAGAACATGTCCAACCACCCTTGCCTCTAAAAAGCATTCCAGCTGCACTTCTACGACTGATTCAGTTGCTCTTGTGGCAGTCCCTGGTACTTTCAATACTCTTCAGCAGAACCACAATTTAAATGCATCGGTTCTTCTTCAGTCTTCCTTGTTCAATTAATATCTAACTTTCAATAATTAATATCTAACTTTTCAATACTTTAAAGAGGTCTTGTGCAGCAAATTTACTCAATATAATGCATTATTTTGTATATTTATACAGTTCATATTTATAATATACAGATTCATAGTATACAGTATCACTAAATACATTCTGAACTGTAAGAGGTATGTGCATTATACTAATTTTTCATTCTTTTCATTTATTCTGCCAGGTATGAATGACATTATTTGTCACCCTTTGAATATATCCTGTTCTCTCTCTTCCCAAGATGAAGAGTAACCTTCTGAAAATCTCCTAGAAACATGCTCACAAATACTTACCGTATATACTAGAGTATGAGCCGACCCATATATCAGCGGAGGCCCCTAATTTACCACAAAAACTGCATTAAAACTGTGCCGGAAAAACTCAGCTTATACACGAGAATATACAGTATTAGTTTGTACAAAGTTGCTAGAGAGTGAAAGAAACGCAACTTATTAAAGAAGTCAATTTACCTTTTTCTCCCAAATTCAGATGTTAACATAACTATAAGCTTTTTAAATATTTGTGAATTTCTTAATGGAAGGAGAAACTTTTTCTCCCACAGAAAGCCTGAAGAAGCAAAATCCAATCTTATCTTGTCCACCTATGAAAGATTTCCTTGAATGTGCTACATTTTTCTTCTTCATTACTGCCCTCACCTCTACAACTCAACAGTGTAGACAAAGTCCTGGTTCCATTTGTCACCCCCTTACCCCTAAAAGCACAAATAACTTTCCTTTGGAATCAATTTTACAGTAGTCGTCTCATGGCAGAGGAAATGGTGGCCCGGGGTGTGGGGAATGAAGGGTATGGCAAAAGTCTGTCTGTTTTAAAACCTTGCAAACTCACTCATTTTAAAAAAATTTTTGTATGTATAATTCTAATTTTTTAAATTGAGACTCCACTCAATATATATGTATATATACAATCATATGAGTTACTGTTGCTGGATGCAAGCCTGTCACCGTATTAGCCAAAACAGAGACCAGGGTGATTTGAGAAATCCTAAGTCTATTCCTGTAAGCGCTTGTGGAAGAAAAACGACCAGGTTTCTCCTCCGTGGTGTTTCAGAGTTCAGTCCTCACCCTGCAAGATAATATCTCTTAAAGTATGTGACAAGAACCGGGGTTGTTTTTTTTACAATGATTACAGGAAGAGATTAACAGGTTTTCACAACAAATACAATTAATTCTCTAGAAAGGCAGGTTTTGCATTGATCATTAGGAAATGATCTATATCTACATTTCTCCAGGGGCTATTACACTACCGTCCCCTAAAGCTTGAGATGCCCTTTGTATCTGGACTGAGGTGATGCTGCCATGCCTGTCTAGACCACCGCCCCTGAGGCCTCTGACCAGGGATGCATCTTGCCTGGCCACTTATCTAACTGGTCTTGCTGGCCTCCTTCCTGAGCCAGGATATCCCTGATTATGTAGCTTAAAAGGAATTTTTACTGCAAGGGAGGGGGCTGTTACATTTTGAATTTTCAGCAAACTAAATCTTAAATTACATTATTTTTCCAGTATTTTGATTATCGGCAGACTAAGTCTTCTGTGAAGGACAAAGAATCACACCAGCTTATAGTACTCCTCTATCACAGGCTGAAAACACTTCTCAGAATTGTACAGAATGTCCAACTGCATGAATTCTAATCAGGTGCCTTATAATAGTCTTTATTTAATTATCTTCCATAAATCAACCAGGAAGTCCTTACCAAGTAAGTCATAAAAAGGGCTCAAAAGTCCTGAACGATCATT